CTGCAACCAACATATCATCCACATACAACAACAATATAACAAAATCGTTATCACCAGACCTCTTGAAATAAGCACAAGGGTCAGCATTAAGTCTGTTGTATCCAAGGCACATAATGAAGGAATCAAATCTCTTATACCAACACCTTGGCGCCTGCTTTAGACCGTACAAAGATTTGTTCAACCTGCAAACCAAGTTCTTCTTTTCTTTTTCTTCAAAACCTTCAGGCTGGAGCATATAAATTTCTTCTTCAAGATTTCCATGAAGAAAAGCTGTTTTAACATCTAGTTGATCTAGATATAAGTCAAATGTAGCACACATTGCCAAAACTACTCAAACTGTTGTTAGTCGAACCACATGAGAAAATATTTCATTGAAATCAATACCTTCTTTTTGAGCATATCCTTTGACCACCAGTCTTGCACGATACCTCTCAACTTGATCGTCACCGTTTCGCTTGATTTTAAAGACCCATTTGTTACCAATTGGTTTCCTTCCTTGTGGTAGTGGCACAAGGTCCCATGTATTATTTTTATGAAGGGCTTCAATTTCTTCTTGCATCGCCATCATCCATAGTGAAGCATCTGAGCTGTTTATTGCCTCCTGGTATGTTGATGGCTCATTGTTCTTTGTTAAAAGGCAGTATGCAATATTACCTTCTATAACATAATCTGAGTGCCAATTGGGACGTCTTCTCACACGATACGATTGACGAGTTGTTGGAGCTTCAGAACTCTCTGGTTCTTGTTCATCATGTGTTGGTTCTGCTTCAGAAGAATCTTCTTGTTCAATCTCCTTTTCCACATATATCTGTGTAGTCTATGACTTTTCAACGCTATCATCGCTTTTTTTTCTTTATAGTTTATCCTCTACAAAGATAACATCCATGCTGATGATCACTTTGCGGGCAGTGGAATCCCACAAGCGATACCCCTTTACACCATCAGCATACCCCAATAATTTGTATTTCCTGGATTTTGGATCCATCTTTGAAATTTCTTGGGAGTTGTACATCACGTATACAATACTTCCAAATACATGGAGGTTTGAATAATCAGCTGGTTTACCAGTCCACATCTCCATTGGTGTCTTCAGCTCTATTGTAGTTGATGGAGCTCGATTCACCAAATAACAAGCGGTATTGACTACTTCTGCCCAGAATGATTTTCTAGGTCTGCATCCCTCAACATTGCTCTTTTCTTTCTAGCAAGGTTCTGTTCATCCGCTCTGCCACTCCATTTTGTTGGGGAGTGTTTGCCACTGTGAACTGTCTTTTGATGCCTTCTTTCCTGCAAAAGTCATCAAATTTTTTGCTTGTGTATTCTCCTCCATTATCTGTTCTGAAACACTTGATCTTATTTCCAGAATCAAGTTCCACCCGTTCCTTGAAGTTTTTGAAAGTTGAAAATACGTCTAACTTCTACTTGATAGGGTACACCCAACATCTCCTGGAGTAGTCATCAATAAATGAGACAAAGTATTTTGCTCCACCTAGGGATGTAACTGGTGCTTGCCATACGTCAGAGTGAACCAATTCTAGAACACTTTTGCCTCTAGAATTTGGTTTGTTGAATTTCAACCGGTGCTGCTTACTTGTTATGCAATGGTCACACAAAGGAAGTGTTACCTTTGTTAAGCCTGGAAGTAGGTTTTGCTCTACAAGGATTTTCATTCCTTGTTCTGACATGTGTCCAAGTTTCTGATGCCATAGCATTACAGAATTTGAACTACAAGAGGCAACAGAGGCTTCTGCTTCTAGCAAAGTCTCTCCCTTCAGCATGTACAAGTTTGCAGCCATCTTTTGGCCTTTCAACACCACAAGCGCTCCACGGAACACCTTCATGATTCCTTTTTGTGTTTCAATCTTGCTTTCATTATTATCCAACAATCCGTAGGATAATAAATTTTTCTTCAGGCCTTTCACGTGTCACACATCTCGAACAACTTTAATTGTTCCGTCATATATATTCAATTTGATGGTTCCCACGCCAACGATCTCTAAGGCATGATCATTGCAACTATACACAGATCCTCCTGAGACAAGTTCATAATGATGGAACCATTCTCTTCTTGAGGTCATGTGATATATTGCCCCCGAATCAATGAGCCATATATCTGCATATTTCTTTCTACCTTCCACGGTGGTTGACGCTTCACAGCATAGAGCATCTCCATCATCTGAAGTGTTTGCAGTATTACCTTGTGGATTGGAGTTTTTATTGAGACTCTAACAATCCTTCTTCAAGTGACCCTTCTTTCCACAGTGGTAGCACTTTAAATTCTTCTTGCTCCTCGACTTTGATCTACCATGTTTATGACTGCTGCTTTGGCCACGTTCTGTTGATCTCCCTCTCATCGTTGTCAACGCTTCTGCTTGTTGCAGATTTACTTGTTTGTCTTCCTTGTTCTTGCGCCGATTTTCTTCTTGTAGGACAGCAGCTGCAACGTCATCGAAGACTAGACTGGTGACATTACTGTTTGTCAAGTTGATGATGAGTTGATCATACGAATCAGGTAGACTTTGAAGTAGAAGTTTAGCACATTCTTGTTCTCCCTTAAGGATGTAAGCTGAGAAAATAAGGTGCTTAGTGTATTTAAGTGCTCCGTCACTGAAGTAGATTCTGGCATACGAAGAGTGTACAATTTTCTCTTAAGGAAAATTTTATTGTTCAATGATGTGGCCTCGTACAATTTGGTGAGATGATCCCATATCTCCTTAGTTGTCTTCTTCTCCTCGATGCTTGACAATACTTCATCTGCTAATGCTAGATGAAAGTTTGCCATAGCATTCCCGTCCATTTCGATCCATTTGTTGTCGTCTGTGAAATTTACCGGCCTTTCAGTGATAGCTGCTAGACAACCGTCTTTCCTCAGGATGGCCTTCATCTTCAATTTCCACAATGAGAAATTTCTCCCATTGAATTTTCAATATCAAATTTTGTTGCCATAGCTTCTTTTACGGATAGCTCTCACTATTTCACTATCATGAATAGTTCTCTGGACCTTCAAAGAATGGGTAATAACTTCTTACTTTCTTATGTTGGAGGATCCACCTTTTGGTGGCAACCACAAAGACAATAAACAGATATTACACACTCAAATCTGGCTCGGATACCAATTGTTGCGAAGACGGCTATCGGATAGAGCAAAATCGCAACTGATAATTTGAGAAAATAAAAATGAAGATAAAAGAGACACAAAATTTACGTGGAAAACCCCTGAATAATATAGGGTAAAAACCACGGGCAACGGTAGAAGAGTTTCGCTATGAGAAAAATATGAATTATAACCTCTCTCGATCTACCAAGGAGAAAAAAAGATAATTCTCTCTTGATAAAAAAGGAGAAAACAACTCTCAAGAAACTCTCTAAATTCTCTCTAGTATTATAAGAAAGCTAGAATGCTTTGGGATGGTTTTGAAGCTAAATGAGCTAGGGTATTTATAGTTGAAACTTAAGGACTAATTTATAAATACCCTAAAATACAATGACTAATTTTTAGCAATTTTACCATAAAAAAATAATAAAAAAATTTTATTCAAAGCCACCGACTGCTAACACTAGCAGCCCATGTGGTTTTTTCAACACCCTGTTGGTGGCGGCACCAGAAGAAACGCAAAGCGTTCACGCACCACCCCCACCACCACGCATGGCACCGTCGTTTATTCTTCCACCATCTGATTAGAATATTGAAAGCGTCATGGATCAGTTTTACAAGATATTTGGCATGCCCTAGACTTTGTTCTAATTATATTTAGGGTTAGGTAATGCCAAAATTATAAAGCAATTTACACATTGTTTCTCTCTCTCTCTCCAGATTCTATATGCATAATATATCTGCATCTTTCGTCTTCGGCCATTTTGATCTTATTTCTAAAGCATATGCTTTACTTACGTGATTGAAAGTTTCCATTTTGTAGAACCGTCGAACGATGCTTCATGTTTAAGGCACAGAAACTGTTTTCAGACAATCATTTATTATAACAGACCAGAAGTGTTGGTGAATTTCATATATGTTTGCTAACAAACCGTGGTTTGATCAGTTTCAAGTTTGATTTGTATATTGTCTTGTACTTGAACAGTGAATAAACTTCCGATTTTTATTTTGTACCTTTTCTTATGCGAAGTTTCGCCATGAATTTCCTGCTTAAGTGGGAGCCAATTCAGACCATTAAAGCAGTCAAAATCAAAGCCTGTCTCTCGCAGTTCCTTGGAAATGTTGATTTTTTTTATCAGATCCTTTTTGTTCTTAAGAACAAAAACACACAGTCTGTTTATTTTGTCGTATTTTTTTTATCGAACCTATGTTCCGATCAACTTGTTAATGACTTCATGGAGGTGGAATTAATGAGATTCTATATAGGTTGAGATAGTGTGACTTCACCCCAGTGTTCTCATCCTTTATCTTTGTTGAGAACCACCCAAAACCCTAACCCTAACACTGTGTGTAATCCTGGTATTAAGGAAGATATGAGCTTGCTTGGATCTCAAGTGATGAATGAACCAACAACGGTTGCAACTAGTGCACTAAATGTTCGAGGTCCCTAGGCTTGAATCTTGTTAACCCTTTCTGGAAAAATAATCAACAACAACAAGAGAATAATAATGGCTTCCCTGTAGCTGAAGATCAAAACACGGGTATTCAACAACTGCATCAAGGAATCAAATCATCACCATCAATCTGTTAGCTTCTTCTTCTTTATCTTCGCCTTGGTTGGTTTTGGATTTGCCAAATTTTCAGTTTAATTGTTTTTGAGAGATACTGTATTAGCTTTACTTTTTTTAAAAAAAAAATTGACACCAAAAAGTTTGAGTTATAACTTTATTGAATTAATCAAAAATTAGGTTCGATCATAAATCTTTAATCAATTTAATACATCAAACTGATTCTCACTTGAATAAATTTGACAACTTTCCATTAAACAAAATTATCTCATTAAACAAAATCTCCACAATATTAATGAATTATGTTTACCAAAATAATAATTTCAAACTGAAATTTAACGGAGGCCGAGCGAACTCAAGCCCCCACTATCACAAATTATGACGTAGGCTCTCTTACTATGAGAAGACCTTAGGCAAGAGCCCTTCCGAAGTGCAATGGAAGCCTCTTACCTAAGCCATGGGTCTTCATGATCACCAGGTAATTCCCGTTGGAAGTAAAACACTCACACAAACAACTTTTATTGAAACTCAAACAAATATTACAAGAGCACTCTCACTCAAAAACAAGAACTACAACTCACTCTTATAAGACTTTGCTTCTTCACTCACTTAGAAGCTCTTAATTTTTCTTGATGCTTAAAACTAAAATGGGAAGGGGTATTTATACTACTCAAGAACAATCCTACACCACACAAATAAACTAATTTAAACCATTACAAATTCAACAAATATCTAACTCTCACCTAACTAAATTGATGTAAGCAATGACATCATTACTTAAATGATGTAAGCAATGACATCTTTAATTAAATGATGTAAGTAATGACATCAATTTAGTTTGGGTTTGGGTTTACGCTCCCATAATGGATCAAGTTTATGATCCAACACCCCCTTAAACTTGATCTCGTGACCCCTAGTAGGTTCCTTAATCTTAAGAAGTCTTCGCTAGTCAGTGGCTTGGTAAAAATATCATCAACTTGATCTTGTGACTTCACGTATTCAACTTCCACATCTTTTCTTGCAACACACTCCCTTATATAGTGGTAGCGAATATCAATGTGCTTGCTTCGATCATGGAATACTGGATTCTTCGCTAAGGCAATGGCTGACTTGTTGTCGACACAAACCTTGGTAGGCTCTTCTTGTATCAAACCAATCTCCTTCAATAGATTTCTAAGCCAAATTGCATGACAAACACATGAGGTAGCAGCAACATATTCCGCTTCACAAGTGGACAATGTGACAATCAGTTGTTTCTTTAACATCCATGTGAACGCAATATCTCTCATGAAAAATACGAATCCAGTAGTGCTCCTTCGATTATCTATGTCTCCACCCCAATCACTATCGCTATATCCAACAAGCTTGTAATCATTAGAAACTGAATAGAACAAGCCAAAGTCAATTGTACCTTTCAGATAGCGAAGAATTCTCTTTGCGGCTTTAAAATGGGTGGTTGTTGGAGATTCCATGTAGCGACTAACCAATCCAACTGCGTGAAGAATATCGGGTCTCGTGCAAGTTAGATAGCGTAGACTTCCTACCAAACTTTTGAAGAATGTTGGATCTATACTTTCGCCTTCTTCATGTTTGGTCATCTTGATCCCGTATTATGCCGGTGTGCTTATTGGCTTACAGTTCTCCATCTTGAACTTCTTCAGTATCTCCTTTGCATAGCTTTCCTGTGAAATGAAAATTTCATCATTTTGTTGCTTAACTTCAATGCCAAGGTAGTACGCCATGAGCCCCATGTCTGTCATCTCAAATTCTTTCATCATCACATCCTTGAATTCATTAAACATGATTGGGTTACTTCCAGTGAAGATCAAATCATCCACGTAGAGGCACACGATCAAAATATCTTCATCTTTGATCTTGATATATAGAGCATGCTCGTAGGGACATTTGTTGAAGCCATTCTCTTGGAAGTACTTGTCGATTCGGCTATTCCATGCCCTTGGTGCTTGTTTTAGCCCGTAAAGAGCCTTCTTCAACTTCAACACCTTGTCTTCATGCCCTTTGACTTCATAGCCTGATGGTTGCTGAATGTAAAGTTCCTCTTCAAGAACTCCATTTAGGAAGACGGACTTTACATCCATCTGTTGTATCTTCCACTTGTTTTGAGCTGCCAAAGAAATGATTAGTCTGATAGTCTCCAATCGAGCAACAGGAGTAAATACCTCATCATAGTCAATTCCAGTCTTTTGATTATAGCCTTTAGTAACTAGCCTCGCCTTGTGCCTTTCAATCTCTCCTTTGGCGTTTTGCTTTGTTTTGTACACCCATTTGACACCTATCGCCTTATGTCCCTTGGGAAGTGAGGTAAGTTCTCATGTGTCATTCTTCTCGATGGCCTTGATTTCTTCGTTCATCGCATCTCTCCATTTCTTTTCTTGTACCACTTCTTGAAAGCTCATTGGTTCACAATCGGCAAACAAACAAAATAATGTAAGATTATCTTGTCGTTCAGTTACCTCATAGAGATCTCTAAGGCTTCTTGTGCGTTGCACAACTCTTTCACTTTGACTCCCACTTGACGATGATGAAGGTGATGAGTCTCCTTGAGTGGTTGATGTTGGTGAAGTGGGTGGAGTTGCAAGCTCTTGTTGAGATTCATCTAGTTGTTCCCTCATTGTCTGCTCATCTTCTTCAAACTGAGGAAAGAAATTGAAGTCATATGTATGAGAGTTAAAATCCCATTCTCCTTCTTCGTTGAAGACCACATCTCGACTAATCACAAACTTCTTATTGTTTGGATTGTACAACTTGTAGCCCTTCGAATTAGCATCATAGCCGATGAAGATAAAACTCTCGCTTTTATCATCAAGCTTCGTTCTTCTCTCGTCTGGTACGTGAACATGGGCTATACTTCCAAAGGTTCTCATGTGAGAAATTCCAGGCTTTCTTCCACTCCATGCTTCTTGCGGTGTCTTTCCCCATACACTTCTTGTTGGAGATCGGTTTGTCAAGTAGATTGCACACGCTACTGCCTCCGCCTAAAATTCTTTGGGTAGTTTCTTGCTTTTGAGCATGCTTCGTGCCATGTCGAGGATTGTTTTGTTCTTTCTTTCTGCCACACCATTTTGCTGGGGGATCTAGGAACTGTCATTGGTCAACGAATTCCATTTTCTTCACAGAACTCTTGAAACTCCCTGAAAGTAAATTCTCTACCTCGATCGGATCTCATGGCTTTGATCTTTCTACCGCTTTCTCTTTCCACTACTGCTTTGAACTTCTTGAAGACTTCAAAAACTTCTGACTTCTGTTTCAAGAAATATACCTAGGTTTTTCTTGAAAAATCATCAATGAAGAGAAGAAAATAGTTACTGTTATCGAGAGAGCTCGGCTTGATCGGTCCACACACATCGGTATGGATGAGCTCAAGTGGCTTCTTGGCTCTTGTCTCTGACTCCTTTGGAAAGCTTTTCCTGAATTGTTTCCCAGCTAGACATCCTTCACAAAGCTGATCAGGATGGTTGATGCGAGGTAGTCCCTTCACCATCTCCTTCTTAGATAGCAGCTCTAGACCTCCAAAATTGAGATGCTCAAATCGAAGATGCCAAAGCCATGATGCATCTTTATAGCAAGCTTTCAGGCACTTTGCAACATCATTTTGTATGTTGATCAAGAACATTCTATTCTTTGACATCGGCACTTTAGCAATGAAGTTATTCTTATCATCTTTTATAGAAAGATTATAATTATTCATATGAATATCATAACCTTTCTCTACCAGTTGCCCTAAACTTAAGATGTTACTTTTCATATTGGGCACATAGTAGACATTTGAAATAAATTGATGTCTCCCATCTTTCAAACGGATAAGAATGTTACCTCTCCCTTTCACTGCTATTGTGGAATCATCTCCAAACGAAACATTTCCGCTTACTGACTCGTCTAGCTCCACGAACATGTCTTTCCTTCCACACATGTGATTGCTTGCACCACTGTCAAGATACCAGGAATTTGCTTGGCCACCATCAGTTTCCTTTCGTGCTAGAAGAAGAGTTTCTTTGCCATCTGTCTTTTCCTCCACGTAGTTAGCCTTCTCCTCAATTTTGTTATTGGGAGCTCTACATTCTGAAGCATAATGCCCAAACTTTTGACAATTATAACATCGAACTTGAGATTTGTCACGCCTTGAGTTCGGATTGATTCTTCCACGGCCTCGTGTTGAGCTTTCTCCTTTCTCATAGTTGTTGTTGGAATCATTGTTGTTGTAATTCCAACCTCGTCCACGACCTCGACTTCCACCTCGTCCATGGCCTCTACCTCTGCCTTGGCCACGTTGGTTTCTATCATTGCGTTGGCTTTCATGCATATCTTTGAGTTGCAGCTTGAGGAGTTGCTCAGTAAAATCATGCTTCTCTTCGTATGCTTGCAATGATCCTTGGAGTTGCTCGACCGTCATTTCTTCCAAGTCTTTAGTTTCTTCAATCGTCACGACGATGTGCTCAAATTTGGGATCCAACGAACGGAGTATCTTCTCTATTATCCTCACATCGTCTAACTTTTCACCATTTCTTTTCAATTGATTAGAAACAGCTACTACTCTTGAGAAATAATCTGAAATAGACTCAGATGCTTTCATGTTTAAGGATTCGAATTCACCTCTTAATGTTTGGAGACGAACCTTCTTCACTTGCTCGGATCCTTTGTAAGAGGTTTGCAGCTTCTCCCACGCTTCCTTGCTAGAGCTTGCACTTGAAATCTTTTCAAAACCATCATCATCTAATGCTTGGTAGATGAGGTAGAGAGCCTTTTTGTCTATCTTTCTTGAATCCTTCAAAGTTGTCTTTTGATCTGGTGTAAGAGTAACAAAAACATCATCATCCATAATCTCGTTATAGCCTTTCTCTATGATATCTCACACATCTTGTGATCCAAGAAGTGCCTTCATTTTGATACTCCAATTGTCGTAGTTGTTGTTGTTGAGTGTCGGAACTTGGAATGGTGCCATACTATTTGCCATATCTCTCAAGATAATGAGATTTTGTAAAATCCGATTGCACGAATGAATCCGGAACGCCAAAAAAAACCTTGGGAGGGACTTGGACAATTCGGTCAAGGGCTCCAACTCGGCTGACTCGGCTCAACTCGGTGAGTCAACTCGATTTTCTGGCAGCAGTCTTCCGGCGGTGTGTGGCGGTGCGTCAAAACTCAGATTGAGAAAATTCTGGCGCCGTCGGATTCCTCTCGTCGAGACCTTCGATCTTTCCAACTCGCTCTGATACCACTTTGTTGGAAGTAAAACACTCACACAAACAACTTTTATTGAAACTCAAACAAATATTACAAGAGCACTCTCACTCAAAAACAAGAACTACAACTCACTCTTATAAGACTTTGCTTCTTCACTCACTTAGAAGCTCTTAATTTTTCTTGATGCTTAAAACTAAAATGGGAAGGGGTATTTATACTACTCAAGAACAATCCTACACCACACAAATAAACTAATTTAAACCATTACAAATTCAACAAATATCTAACTCTCACCT